TTTATGGAGCAGAAAAACGACAAAGCGAGAAAAATTATTTTCCACTCCAGAAATTAATGATCATGAGCTCTTATTTGATGGACTCTAACTACATCGATCCGAAATTTCCTCCATGCGAGGAATATTCGCAAAATAATTACATCCCAGACCACAGTCCGGAGTATTATAGCCGGGGCAGGGAGCCCAGCTACCAGCACCACCCGGAGCTGTACCCGGTACCGCGACCCTCCTTCCCCGACCGGCCCTTCGGCTGCGGGGGGCTCCAGGCACCCGGGAACCCGGCCACGCTCCAAAGGGGAAGCTCCAGGAGGGCAGCACCTCTCAGAGAAAGCGCAGCAGCTCTGCGAGCAAGCTGCCCTGTCCTCCTCCTCCTCCACCACTCCTTCCCCAGCCCCTCCAGCCTGCAGCCAGCCAAACCCCGAGCATCCCACCAGCACAGCTTCCAAACAGCCCATAGTCTATCCCTGGATGAAAAAAATCCACGTCAGTACTGGTATGCAACTTTTATTTTCCTCTTCTGTCTCTCCGCTCTTATTTTCACACCATGCTCGCTCCCTCTCGCCTCTCTCACTCTCTTCCTCTTTTTTTTATTTCCTTCCCTTCCATGAGAGTCTTTGGGTTAGCACAATTGAACTGGATTTACGACTCCGAATGGGTAATTACCCCCACCATAAATTTTATAGCCGAGCTACTGTGGGCAGCCTTAGCCATGTGGCTCGTTCTGTTATGTATGTGTGAAACTCCGAAAGCTTTGTAAGGGGTGCATAAATAATTCAGTCTTTTGAGCCAGGGAAACCCCTTCCTATTAGAATAGAAACTCTTGAGCTGCCCAAAGTTCTTTATTACCTATTTAGCCTATTACTTTTGTTTTTTCTCCCTCCCCCCCCCGGCTCCTCCAGTCCCCTCTCTCCATCCACGCTGATTTTCCTTGTGTGTTTTTTATTTTTTTGTTGTATTTTTCCCTTTTCCTTTTTTTTTTTGTATTTTTTTCTCCTTTCCTTTCTTTTTTTTTTTTTTGTTTTTTTCTTTTTGTTTTCCTTCCCCTCCTTTCCAGTGAATCCCAATTACAATGGAGGCGAACCCAAGAGATCCAGGACAGCCTACACCAGGCAGCAGGTTTTGGAGCTGGAGAAGGAGTTTCACTATAACAGGTACCTGACCCGGCGGCGGCGCATCGAGATCGCCCATTCGCTTTGCCTCTCCGAGCGGCAGATCAAAATCTGGTTTCAGAACAGGAGGATGAAATGGA